AAAAATACTTTAATGAGAGACAGATTTCAGTTTAATTTTATTAAATAAAACACCTGTGTGTCTCTGTACCTCTGAGCCTCAGAGATGGGGACATCCAGAGTTGCTTCAAGCCAGCTGGTGGTTTGAGCATCTGATAAGGAGGCTTCCTGGACAGGCCCAGCAGAAGGCGACCCCAGGGGTAGATCCAGAACTCACTGGAGGGATTAGATATCTCATCTGGCCTGGCAACAACTCAGGATCCCCCAGGAGGAACTGAAAATTGCTGCTGGGGATGACAGGAGGCCCTGCTTAGTCTGCTGCCGCCACATTCTGACGCTGGATAAGAATAAAAACATGGCTGGAATCTGAAATCTCTTCATTTGTGAAAACTAACCCAGATCATGTTTAGCTACTTTACCACTTTGGTCCAGACTGAAGACTCTAAACAGCTGTTGGACGAATCGTCTTAAAAATTAGACTCACACATTCATGTCACCCTCAGGATGAATTTAGTCACTTTGGTGCTTCCAAAGCGTTCAGTCTAGTGCCAGCATCAGGTCAGCATTTTCATTTGTCCAGTACTTTGTTTAAAGACCAACAACCTGCAGAACTTCACGTTCTTGGCAACCACAGCAGTACTTTTGCTCAACAGCATACTAACACACTAAAGTATGATGGCAAACACACATGCTACTATTGTCAGTCGGGCTGCAGTCAGAGTAAATCTTAGTTGACTGAAATCGTACCAACTCTTCAACCAGCTGAATAAAACATCTGCATGTCATCTCTAGATGAACTAAATAGGCCACAGTGCATTGACTTCGCCTATTAGCCTGAATGAATTCTAAATAAACACACAAAGCTCGTACTTGCAGCATATTAAATCATTTTTACTGCTCATTTCATTCTGAAATAACGACAACAGAGTCGGAGCAGAGCCCTGTGCACCTGCCTGCATTCATATGATTTGGTCATTGGGCTGTGATATAAAAACCGCCTGACACAACCACCACAACAGGCCCGAGGTCAAGAGCTAGACCTGGGGTGGGCAATCCTGGTCCTCGAGGGCCACAGTCCTGCATGTTTTAGATGTTTCCGTCTTCCAACACACCTGATTCAAATGATCAGCTCATCATCAAGCTCTGCAGAAGCCTGATAACGATCCTGATCATTTGAATCACGTGTGTTGGAAGAAGGAAACATCTAAAACATGCAGGACTGTGGCCCTCGAGGATCAGGATTGCCCACCCCTGGTCTAGACTCTTCTCCTCTGTGGTTCCCCGGTGGTGGAACGAGTTACCAACCTCTGTTCAATCTGCTGATTCCCCTCAGTCTTTAAGAAAAGACTAAAGACCAGCTCTTCACTGAACACCTTTGCACTTGACAACCTGAAAACAAGCAAACAAAAAAAAGAAAAGAAAATCCTATCACCTCCCACACAGCCTGCCGTCGGCATCAGCACCCTGTCACACTTGAACTTGTTCTATGGCACGTACCCAGATGGTTTCCTCCTGACTAGATCCTTGCTTGTGTTGTATCTGCTCTCAGATGTACGTCGCTTTGGATAAAAGCGAAAATGAAATGAAATGAAATTGTAGAAACTGCTGTTCACCAACTTTATACTCAACTTTTGGGAAGTTTGTTTGACGAAAATACAGCCGTGCCAACAACTTCTCTGACATGATGACAATTCCTGGTAAACGTTCAGTAACCAGTTCATAAGTCAGACCTGACAGTCTAAGTTCAAAGTTGTGAAAACCCAGAAATAATGATTCATCCTAGAAGGCTTTCCTTCTTATAAAAGCAACACCAGTGATTGCCTGAGTCTGTTAGCATGGTTTAGACTCTTTGTTTTGGTTTACTGGTACAGTATCAGAAGCTCATTTGAATTTCAGCTTATTTTTCGCTTCATAGGAACCATTTGCTTCTCTGCACTTGTGACCCAGTTTACTGAAACCTAGTCTCCTCATGCTGCAGGAAACAGCAGCTTTTGGATGCATGTAAACACCAGTGTAAGCCACATTCTTCCTTAACAACAACAAAAAAAATTGTATTCCTTCAAACCGACACAAGCCTTACTCAAAAGTAATGACATCCTGTATTTTTAACAAAATCTAGTTTCCTGATGACGACCACCAGCAGATAGTGTATTGTTAACACTGATTGTGAATTATTCCGGTAAACATTGCAGGAGAAGACACATTTTCCCACCCAGAGTGTGAACTGGACTTTCTGTGTCCCACATTCTCCTCTGAAGCTGCTGCCACTCCTTCATCAAGTTTCATTCATTTGGCTCGTACGCTGTTGTTCTAACCGTGGGCTGGAGTCTATTTTCAGCCGCTGCACTGCTGGTTCAGCTGGACAGATAACGAGAACTGTAGTCTGATCTGGCAGGAAGAATGATGGTCGGGTTATTAATCTTTATTTGGCTGTTACAGCTTCTCTAACAAGAGAGAGTAATTCAGGAGTTACAACCTCTGCTCCATTACAGACAGATTTGTGGTGCAAATAGTTTGGGTTTCCTCCCTGTGCACCACCTTCATGAGTAACAGTCTAATGTTAATGTGGACATCAAGCTGCCTCTTCTGCTTCTCGGTGATTCAGTCATTTCCTTTATTTCCCAGACAGCCTTTACTTTGTCTTTCTGTGCTGCAACATCATAAATGAGGTCATAAAAAAAGTGAATTAATACTGTGATCAGCTGTTCAAATGACTCACTGTGAAGCTGCTTTTGGTTTCTCTGCCTTTTTGTAATAAATTCCAACAAAATAATAAAATTGTAAACTTATTTTTGAACAAAGTTGCAGCTCTAGAAAGACAACTTTTGTCTTTGCTTTGTAAAAGATTCAACACTAAAATCAGGTCAAAATCAGGTTTTCAGCTCATGTTTTATCGAGACTGTTGTCTGAGAAAGACATCCGTTGCTTCAGTAAGTTTCCCAGAACAAAATATTTGCATCCAAAATAGTTTACAGTTTCAGATGGTAGAGAGCGTTACTGCTTGTGTTTAAAAAAAAAAAACTTCCTCAAGTAACCGCCAACTGTCAGTCTGATGTTAAAGCTGTGCAACGCTACATCAGAGTACTGACTTAGCAGAACTGGAAATGAAACTATGTTTGATGAACACCAAACACTGCACATCATGACAAACACATCATCCCCACTGTGAAGCACGGCGGTGGCAGCATCATTATGTGGTAATGCGCGCTAAATTACAGGATAGAATGAATGCAGTAAAGGATGTGGAAATCCTGGAGGCCAACCTGATACAGGAGAACTGTGACTTGGGAGAAGATTTGCTTTCTGTAACATGACACAGCCTGAAAAAAAAAAAAAAAGAATGGAATAAGATTGCAGCGTCCAGATGTACAAGGCAGATTAAGATCTATCCACAAAGGCTCAAAGCTGTAACTGAAGCCAAAAGTACATCGACTAAATACTGAACTGAAGGAGGTGAATTACAAGTACTTATTTTACATTTTGAATTAATTCTCATAACTTTGTGGAAATCGCTTTGACATAAAAGAAGGGTTTTTTGTTATGTTTTTTGTATCGGGGTCTCAAATGTGCCAAAGGGCAGCTTCATAAACAACTTATTAGTTGTATCATCAAAACACCAAAACTCAGTTCTATCTTTACTTTTGGAGAGTTGTATATGACAGCATGATAAATGCACAGCGGTACGAATGAGACGGCAGCATTTTCAGAAGTTTGTGCGACTTTCGGTGGTGAATCAGTTTAAAGTTGAGTTCTTTCTTTTTATCTCTTTCAGTCGTTTGGAGAGCAAAGTTCAGATGTTGGAGTCTCAGCAGAGAGGAGAGCTGGAGGACATGAGGGTGGAGAAGAACCGGCTGCAGGTACAGTCACTAAAAAAATGACATCTGTGTGTTTTACAGTGAAACAGCACCATCAGCAGGGGTCTGTTTGTACAGGTGTCCGCGCGTTTATTAGAATTAATCTTGTCAGAGCTAATTGTTGACAGTTTTATGTTAACTAAATCAAGTCCCAGCATGGACTTTATATTTAAAGGGCCACATTTGACATTTACAAGCTCGAGCACTCCGAGAGCCTGACCTCATAAATGTACATTTTACAGATCTGAGCATGCAGAAGATTTGTTTTTACAAGTTTTACAGATTCAGACTACTTTAGTCTCAGCTGGTTCAGCAGTGCACATCTGTGTTAAAGTAAATTGTAAAGTGGAAGAGCAAAAACCCAAAAAGGATAAGAGAAATTAAAGCTTCATGGACAAATACAGATCCAGGGACTGACAACAGAAACAAAGGTAGATTGCTATTTTAAAAACCTGATGTGTGAAGTTCATGCTCTCAGTAAACATCCTCTTCTCAGTCTGTCGTCAGGACTCAGATGGCGGCGATCGAGTCTTTAGAGAGGCAGCTGCGAGTGGCCAGCAGCAACAACACCGTCCTGCAGAGACAGCAGGCTCAGCTGATGGAGTCGGTCCACACACTCATCAACATGGTGGCCAGTCCTACAGGTGCACACATGCTTTCCACACAGTATGATTACATGTATACATGTGTGTGAGTTACAGCTTTCAGACTTCATTGCATTTTGTTGCGTGTACGTATGCAGGGTTGCCACCTCGGGCCCAGATGTGGAGGGACTGTGCAGATGTTTACAAGGCCGGTCACTCTGTCAGCGGACTGTATCACATCTACATCGGCAACAGGACTGAACCTGTGCAGGTAACGTCTCACCTGCAGCAGAGTTTTAAATGAACAAAATTGCTTCCTCCAGTCGAGTCCTGAACAGCCACTGGATGAGCTGAAACATTCAGCACACTGACTCCTGGTATCGAGCCATAACCTGATCGATGCTGTAGATGATTGTTCTGTTTCCTGAAGGTGTACTGTGACATGGAGACGAGCGGCGGAGGCTGGACGGTGTTCCAGCGGCGATTTAACGGCAGCGTGGACTTCCAGAGGAGCTGGAAGGACTACAAACTGGTCAGTTTATCCAATGAGGCGGATTAATCACAATAAAATAACGTTGTGTAGTAAAGTGAGCTCATCGTCTCACCTCCTCCCTTCTCCTCCTGCAGGGTTTCGGGGACGTGTTAGGAGAGCACTGGCTGGGTAATGAAGTGTTACACCTGATGACCAGTCAGGGCCAGTACTCTCTGAGAGTGGAGCTAAAGGACTGGGAGGGAAGCTCCGCCCACTCCCTGTATGACCGCTTTACACTGACCAGTGAGAGGCAGCAGTACAGGTACCAGCTGCAGCTTCAGTACGAGCATCCTGCACACTGTGACACTGACACGTCTCACATTTACTGACGTTCTACATTTAAATACCATGAAGCAAGTACTTGAGTTTTCTCTGCATTTCAAAGGGAAATCTATGTGTGGTGTTAGTCGACCAAGGAAAACAATGAAATCATACCTAGTCTTCAATCAAGTAACTGGTCCCAAAAGAAAAACAATCAGTGTTCTGCAAATCTGCACTGAGTTCACTCTCCCTGCTGGTGTTATTAGCTTAAAGAAATTTAAAACAAGCTTTAAAGAACAGCTTGTAAATCAGTATGTTAATCTATTAAATCATGTACTGTTGTTATTTCATTACAACAGACTAGATGTCGGTTGTTTAGCTCTGACATGCAAATTACAGTTTGTAATAATATACACTGTAAAGATTTAACATTTTTAGCTGCTTTTAACTATAATGTTTTAAAACGATTTACTGTTCTTTTACAGATATACCCTGTTTTTTTGGTTGTTTTGTTTTTTGTAAATTACAGATAATGACTACTAAAAACACAGACAAATTATTAATTTACACACTGACCCTAAAAAACAGGCCAGAACCTATAAATGTTTTTCTACAGTGTTTGACCATAAAATGACACCGTATTTGTTTTTTTACTGTATTTAAATCTGCTAAAAAAAACAAACAAACAAACAAAACCCAATATTTTATAGATATTTGCTGTTATTTCCATTAAATGTTACAGTATTCCACCATTTGTTAACAGATTTTATTTATTTTCTTATTTCTTCTGATACCTTTTCATTCATTTATTTATTTGTTATACAATGTCTTACATTCTGAGTAGAGCAATTTAGCATTTTATGGCAGTTCTTATAATTTAGATTAGAAGAATAGAATAGAATAGAAAAAATACTTTATTTATCCCAGTCTGGGAAATTACTGAAATAGATTGATGATGCAAATACATCTGTACTTTGACTCTTTCTTGTATCTTTTTAAATCTGGTGTTTAGAGCTGCAGCTGTTGCCGTCGTTGCTGAACAAATTGCACATTTTGTTGTTTTCTACGCAGATGTAGAAAGTAGTAAAAATGTAGCTCACAGCTTCTAAAATCCCAAGACGACACCTTCAGACTGTTTATTTTGTTGGACCGGATAATATTCCATTAGATTCAACTTTATTGCTGTAGCACAGATCCAAGTATGAAGACAATTAAATGTAGTTTAGTATCTAATCAGAAGCCGCAAAAGAACCAGTAAAGTGCATTGTATACAGTAAGGGTGTGTGCACACATGTTTACAGCCCCTTCATACACACTTGTACATGCTTTAGCTCCCACATACTTTACATGCATCCCGCCCACATCGATCGTCATAAGATTAAATCCTGAATGTATGACATCACAGTGGATGTACCAGCTTGTCTCCTGTTGCTCAGGTTGTACCTGAGAGGCTACAGCGGTACCGGTGGAAGGCAGAGCAGCCTGACCACACATGGCACCGGCTTCAGCACCCGAGACCAGGACAACGACAACTGCGACCACTGCAAATGTGCTCTGATGCTCACTGGAGGTAAAGTTTCTGCTGCTGTTCGGGCTCAACAGGCTGTTGAGTAGATTCAGTTTTGGAAATATTCAGTGCAAAGAGAGAAAAATAAAGACACATTTCTAAAAATAAATGTACTCCTTTAAATACCTTATTTAATAGTGTGCAACCACACAGCTGATAACAGTCTGACTTATTTAACGCAAGCTTTCATCAGATAGTGTCTCTCTGCCACAGTAAATAAGAAAATAGTCTATAATTCGCACTTTACATATTTTTGAGTTCCAAAATAAGTGGTGTTTTCCCAAAAGCTGCGGTCTGTCAGTGCACTGCTCTTCACCTTGTGTCAACGCCAAGACAAACAGCTCTTTAGCTTCCCCTCGATGGGTTGCGATTAAGTTAATCATTGTGGCAAAACCTCGAGCTCTCTGAGGAAAAGACTCCACCATTAGTCATTTAAAATCACAGTAATTTCCAGAGAAAGACAAAGTAAAGAAGAGAGAGTGACGGAGACGACATGAGCGAAGCAGGAACGGAGGAAACACCCACTCGTGCAGTTTACCCTCAAGGAAAAATTCAAGTCTAACTATGAAAATTGCACTTAAATTTGGAAATAATGAGAACCGTAATCAAAAACCATATTGCGTTCAGGAATATCAGCATCGTTTTCAGACACGTGTTGGGTAATTGCAAAGTCAACAGAAAGCAGATCTCGACATCTGAACTCTTTCTGTGAGTCACTCATAAAAAAAAATGTTTTCTGCTCATGTCAGATTTATTGTTGTCATGCAGATTATTACACATTTTAAGAAAACCAACCGTGAAAACCAAAAACTCACAAAAGCCACAAATCACACTGAGATTTACAGTGTAGCTGGAACTAAAGCTTGTTGCTCTGTCCTGCTTTGATATTTAAAACAGCTCTGATGAACAAAGCGTTAAAACAAAGTGTGAGAACCGAAGAAGCCTCTTGGATGAGAGGTGGAACGTCTGTAAGAACCTAAAAGAGAAGTCCACTTGCTTTGTACTGAAGCTCCTAGGAAACTGTGATCACATTTTCCTGACAAGCGACCTGAAGCAAACAGCTTCTCACAAGCAAACACAGAGTGAGTTTGGCAGCGTGAGCTCGCCGTGTTTGAACACCAGAGTCAACACTTGAGTTGTTTTTCTTTGAGCCTGACCACAGCCTGTCCACAACCAAAGCTAAAGTCATTGTAGTTGCCTTAACTTTACCAAACCCTGACCGTAAGAGTGCAAAGTGACATGTTTGATTATGAGAACATGTTAAACACTGAAGCTGCTTTTGAATCCAGAGACTGAAGCGACAATAAGAAGAGAAACAGAAACAGTGTGATGAGCAATGAGAGAGCAGCTTCACGTGGACAAACAAAGATAATGGTGGGATTTAATTAAAAGCATCCCACTGTTGAAATACTTTGTTACAAATAAAGAGCCCTTATTATAAATTGTAGCTCATTGGGATGATAATTGTTGATGCATTGTTGTGTATAGATCACTGATGTCATGGGTGGAGAAGGAATGAGTTTAGATGGGAGGGAAGGAGAGAGGAGGAGACGATCCAAGACAAGACAGAAAAGAAGACAGGACAGGAAAAAAAGATGTGTAAGGACGAAAGGTGGAAGGAAACAAGGGATGAGAGGAGATGAAAGGGAACAAGAGAAGAGGGTAGAGAGAAGGAAACTGGAGAGGAGAGGAGAGGAGAGGAGAGGAGAGGAGAGGAGGAATCAAGGGAGGAAGGATAAGCAGAAGGAGAGAAAACAAGAACATGAGTACAATTAAACAGTCAAAGAGAGGAGAAAAAGTAAGGATGGAGGAGAAGAGAAGATCAGAAAGGAGAGTGAGAAACAATAAAGAGTCTGAAATGAGAGGGGAGAGGATAATAAAAGACAAGAAGAGAAAGGAAACATTTGCTTTTTCTTCCCTCTTCATTCATTCACCTCCATCTTTACATTTCTTTCCATCCTCTTACTCCTTGTTTTCACCATCCTTTCTTCCCTACAATCCATGCATTCATCTTATCATCTCACCCTCTCCTACCCCCTCTTCCACTTCCTCTACTCATTCTTCTTGCTCTTTCTTAATTATCTCCTCCCTTGTCCGTCCCTGCCTCCGTCAGGTTGGTGGTTTGACGCCTGCGGTTTCTCCAACTTGAACGGTATCTACTACACCGTCGGCCACAACATCAGGAAGCTCAACGGCATCAAGTGGCACCACTTCCGAGGCCCCAGCTACTCCCTGCGCGCCACCTCCATGATGGTACGGCCCTACGACTTCTAACAGCACCCCTGCACATCCATGATGGTTTGGCCCATGACATCTGCCGACAGTCTTTCAGTATCACGGCGGTACTCCCTCCAACATGCCTTCCTGATGATGTGAAACTTTTAAACAACACCCCTCAGATCCAGCCCCAGATCTCTTGGATCTAACATGGTACAGCCCTTCAATTTACTGCCATGATGGTAAAACTCCACACAGAAAGTTGTTTTATGTTTCCTGACTCTGGACTTTGTTTTCATAACCTGCCCCGGAGCCATGAGGGATGGACCATGCCAGAAAAGAACTAATTCATACTGGCTTGTTGTTGAGTGCACATTTTCAGACCGTCCTGGAAGGAATTCATAATGTTTTGCTTGTTTGTGTCAAGCAGCTTCAAAAACTGCATTTCCTCGAATGGCCACTAGAGGCTGGCTCCGGTCCCCATAGACACCCATGTCAAAATGTCTAATTTTACAGCAGAAATAAACATGTTTACAGCCTGGTGTAAGCAACGGTTTTGAGTCTCTGTAGCTAACTTTGTAACAACTGTACGGGGAGTGATTTTTTTATATAACTCACCTACTAAAAGTGTATTAAAGCTTAACGTTATGCATAACTTCGAACACTGAGCTGTTCAGGAAACCTGTGGGTATGCCGTCACAGAGGGTTTATCCATCTTTCTATACAATCTGTGGTTTGTACACATGAAAAGTGACAGAAATAGTGATGTAAAGAAGAGAAAAGAGGCGTTGAAACACACTGCTGGTCACTGCCTGAGGTGGGTTGGATTGTACAGAAATTGTTGGACATAGTCAATCACCTACAGTTGGTCCATCAGAAAGGTTTCTGGAGAAGGTGGCTGGCAGCTTCACAGTACTTTCCTTTCTGACTTCGGAGCATCTCTTGGATTAGAAAAGGTATGATCACTACAGACGTGATCAGAATACCTTTGCAGCTAGCAGCCATGACTGTAATCACCTTTAACCTGCGGATCGTCTTCTGAAGGACTCCACCGAGGATCACTGACTGCTTCTTGGTCCTCGGAAGCATTTTATAGTAACATTGAAAACACCTTCAGATACACCGAGATCTGAAGGTGTCATCTTGAGGGTTTTAGAAGCTGTGACCTCTATTTTTTACTACTTTCTACATCTGTATAGAAAAGCAATAAATTGTGTAATTCATTCAGCAATGATAACATTAGCTGCAGCTCTAAATACCATATTTGAACAAACAGTGTGCTGCTGGATCTGCAATTATTCGACTGATTATTGGACAGAAAAATCACTTGTAGCTACTTTGATCATTGGTTAGTTGTTTACAAAAGTCAAATAAAGATTTGTCGTGGCAATAATAATCTTCATTTACAAAACACTTTTCAAAGGGGCATCAGTTTTAAGGTCAGAATATTAGATGTTAAAGAGCTCATAGGCTGTGTTTTATGTTTTGTGCATGTAAAAGTCTGTAAATGCACAAAAGCCCAAAGTCCAGGGAGTTAGTACCTGACTGAAGTGCTTCATTTGAAGTCCAGGTTTTTCTGCCGCTATGCCACCATATAATACATTTGCATAGCCTCTGCCTGCAGCTAGTTTAACTACAAACAAAGAACGAGCAGCTTAATTGCAGGCCACCATCATTTCCTACCTAAAGTTGCTTTTGTTTGGGCAGTTTCTCTCTTCCTATATTCATAGATCTGGGTTTGCAATATGTAATCTGCGCTACCTTGCTCAGGATGGAGGCCTTAAAGAGCAAAAACACAGCGTTTGGATGAAGAGTGAGCAGAGGTGCTGTAGCAATGTACAGTATGGGAAAAATCATGTGTTTTTAAGCATGCAAACATGCTTTAGACTCCCCCCCAAAAAAACTTGTTAATGTGAAAAATATGGCCTTTTTAAAAACAGATTAAACCACTTTGGTGTAAAAATAAATAAATAAATAAAAAATCTGGAAGAACTCTTAAAGCTATATTTTAAAGGAGATTTAGGAGAAGTAATTACGCTCTTGTGGCCCCAATTACAAGCGCTTTTATCCTCTCAAATTGTCAGCTGGGCACCTGGAACAGATAAAAGACCTCTGTGCTAAGATCTAGAACTATGTTTCAGCACATAGTCCAAAGAGGTCAGAATTATAAAAAGTCTTTAAAGTAATCAATCAAATCTTAAAGTCTATCCTCAAACATCTTGGAGAGGCTGAAGCAGGAGTGATGTGGTGACACCTCTTGCTTTTGGTTAAAAGCCTGGCAGCTGAGTTCTGTACAGTCTGGAGTTAATCGGCGGGTTTTTTGTTAATGCGAGTTAAAAGGCCCTGGTCATAATAAAGGCAAGAGGAGATGAAAGCATGAAAAACAGTTAGGAGAGAGTGTTGACTGAATTATTTATAAGTTGGTAAAAACACAGTTGCGCAGTCTTTGTGGTGCTCAGAACTTAAGTTATTATTCAACCAAACGCCAACATTCTTCAGTTTCCAACCAGCAGCTCATGATTATTAGCAAACAACACATCACTGTCTGCTGTTGCATCAGAAGCTGCCATTAAGACACTCATTCTACAAGGTTTTTTTTAGACGGACACATAAAACGAACAAGTGGAGCAGAAGGATGGAAGTGATTCAAGGTTCTGGGATGTTAGCTTTTGTTTTGCTGTCACGCTACAGAGGCAGACAGTCCCAGTGGGTTATTTCTGTTAGATTATGTCAGTTCCAGGTTAAGATAATACACCTAATGGCACCAAAGATGTGCGCAAAAAGACTGATAGGATATGTCACAATGAAAATTAAAGCAAGAATGAAACTTGTTATAAACACAACAGAGTTCAGGTTAGATGTCTGTCATTTAGCTGCTGTTTCCTTTAAAGTCGTCTTCTTGTGCAGCTATACACTGCTCCCAGGGCTCCTGCATTGTCTGTCCAATAAATAAAGGTGTCAATAACCAGCTGCAATATTCTGAATCTCTTCAACTGTCAACACCTGATTTTAATTTTGGACAAGAGGAAGACTGGTTGACACTGAGCTGTTGAACAAGGTCACATCAGTTTAGTGTTTGTTTGTAACGTCCTTTATACTGATGTTGTTGCAGAATTGTTTAAGTCTTTCAGAAGCACAATCAATACTTTAGCTGCTATCTTTTACTGTTCGATTAGCCTAATGTATACCTTCACACATGCACCACAACAGTCTCAGAACTTTTGGATTGTACCTGATACATCAGTTAAGAAGAGATGGACTTGAATGAAGCCAGAGTGAGTCCACATATTAACTAACAAGTGTTACGTGACTTCATTTAACTTAAGGAAGACAGAAAAAGAATCAGATTGCTGTTGTGACAAGTTGAAGCCACACTGAGGATGGATTTGATGCCACAGCTGATGAGCAGTGGGAGGAGATCGTCCGTCTCCTTCTGTGGACCGACTTTGTTTCAGCAGGGCAGCTGGTCCGGCCTGCAAAGACTGGACCTGGACCGTGTTCTCTTCTTCAAATGTTGTTTGTGGACAAGTTTTAACGCGTCTCAAAGTCTGCTTACCGTGTACGTTGTTTCATAAATGGAAGCTGATAGATGGCTACTACTAGAGATGGATCTGGAGAGACAAGGAACTTTTTAAATTGCTATTTTGGGAAATAACAGCAAACAGACTGAAATTCTATTTTTAATGCAATATTGAACAAGGAAGAAATTAGAGAAGAAATAAACAACAAAAATAGGCAGAGAGGAAAATAACATAAGAAAAAACAAATTGTTTTATGTTTGGTAGAAAATCTGGATGATCAGCAAAGGAAGGAAAAACAATTTAAAAGTAAACCGTAATCGAGTCCAGATCGTGAAGCAGAGAAACGTTGCTTTAATTCTCCTCCTAGTCCAAACAACCTCGTGTTTTTACTGTCTCTTGTTGGAGTCTACATGTCATTAAAAGATACAAACTAATATTCCCAGGGCACTCATTCAGACACTAGATAAGTTGCAGATTGTTAGAGTTAACATCTGAGTTTTTCTATCGGTCTCATGCATCCAGACTGAATCGATCATATTGGAAACACAACTCTCACATCCCCACACAAACGACAGGCTCATGTTGTAACAAAGACAGCTGGGATTACATTGAAGTGTCCTGTTTTAATTCCTGCCACTATGACACATGATATGCGGGACCTTACGTCATCATGCTGGCATCTCTCACTATAACTCCTATTCTGTGGCCCCTTAAACATCCACCCACATTTTTACCACCAACTTTTCCATAGAAGTCCCAACCTCAGCTTTACTAAACTTATCAGGGCTGACAAGTAGCCAGTTAGTTTTCTCTTGTGGAAATTCATTTAGGATGTCTGCAAACAGGTTTCACATGTTACAATACTTTGAATCATGTTTTCTCAAAGTGTATTCACAGACATCTTTAAGTTAATTATATATATCAGTAACTCATTTTTTCATCAGTAAAAATGACAGTTACAGATATGTGCAGTTGACTTTTCACGTTTAGAAAAAAACATTGTGACTATCTGAAAATGTTCATTTTAGATGTCTATTTCTGAAACATGGGACGTAGCAGCAATATGGCGAGCTGCTTTAACATTTACCACATGAGCTGGATGTGCAGTGCAGGTATCTGGAGTTCAGTTCTTTTTTGATATCCACATCGTTAGTCTTCTGAGGAAAAATAACATCTTTTTTTTTCTTCTTTTTTTTGTCATTCTTGTGTTACAGATATCCACAATCCAGCTGCAGACATCTGCATTTCACATGCCACATATCTGCAGTTCATTTACACTAGTTTTAGCCACATGATAAACAAGTAGATTGTCAGAAACTAGAAGATGTTTCCTTTCAGATCATGTCTTAAACATGCATTTTGGGCTTACAGCTCTCCTGGTATAAGCTTTTCCATTTGGTTATGCCAGATAGAAAAAGAGGTTAAGAGGTTTTAAATAATGACACACAGTATGTAGAGGTTTTAAAATTTGACAAAAACAATTATTTAAAAACTTCTGTCCTTGATAATCCACTCCTGTTACTGTGAGCTTACAGTGTGTGTTGTATTTTAGCTCATGTATTATTTACAATTATGTTTTTTACTGCCACATTGTGGAAACAGGACTCTGTGTGTGTGTGTGTGTGTGTGTGTGTGTGTGTGTGTGTGTGTGTGCGAGAGAGAATTGATTAACAGTCTTTCAATTGACTTTTTATGCATTTCATTAAGCTGCATCCTCATGAAACAGCAACACAAAGTGCAGATATTTACTGCCTGTTTCATCCGTCATTAATCAATCGCTCCACCCTGATTGATTTATAAGTGCATATACTCTCTGCTGGGCCAAAGTATTAATGGCAGAAATCCATCCAATATTCTGCTTCTACAAGCCAGCAGAGTGCTAGTGCAGATTCCAGTGCAAGCTCAATTAACATTAAAAGCAGTAAAGGTTCCAGAGACAACAGTACTGCGTCCTCGGTTTATTGATTTAAGATCAACAATGGATCTTATCTGAAAAAACAATAAACAAAACTGTCTCTGCTGTCTGTGCTGAGTTATCTTGTGGGGGAGTTATCTTGAGTAGATGCAGTAAAAGTTAACACATCACCTTGTTATCATATCATGTTTCAGATTTGTTTGGAAAATCAAAACGCTGCACAGTGATGACGCCTGAACATATCTCAAGACGACATGTTCTTCTTAGGATTGACAAACCAGCCCTCCAGTGTGCAGAACGTTAAAGGAATTGATTCACATCTTGGGAAGTGATGAGAAAACTGACACCACGGTGTGAGCTCAGCATTCAGACTTGAAGCAGGGGAAGGTAACAAAATCCATCCACCTGCACCTCAGAAGCCCACTGATTAGTGTGTAATATCGCAGTTCTTAAATCTGTACACAATCAGTACTGTTAAAAATAGAACAAATAAATAACAGCAGGTTTAAGGGAGGTTTTAAGCCGGATTATTTTTTAGGGAAGCAGCAGAAGCTTCCTGTTGTCTCTGCAGATTGTCTGACAACATGTAAAGCCCTGAGCTGTAGAGGTGCAGACATCAGTGGAAGAAGTACTCAGATCCTTTACTCAAGTAAAAGCACGAGTACAGTAATGTAAAAATACTCCATATAGGAGGCCCGCATGGAAAATCTGATGTAAGTAAGAAAAAGTCCCGGTTTGATCCCTCTGACTGATTTGTTATTACTATAGATTATTAATAGTCTAAAAACTGTATAATATGAGCGGATCTTATACAATATATTATGTTATTAGTTTATGTTTTATCTATTGGTATCATTACACTATGTTGTCCAGTTACGTGTGTTTTTTCTGGTGGGGATCAGTGTTCAGTGTTACTCTGCCTCCATCTTGTGGTCATACTGTGTTACTACAACACGGTGAGTTTGTTGCGGGCTGCTCAGCGGTTTATCTTCACCACAGCAAAACAAAGTACTAAACATGCTTTAAGACATGCAGCCACAAACTAATGATCAATAAAGGATTTTACTGTGTGCAGTGTGTTTGTGACAGTGCAGGTCCAGCAACAGAACTATTAATATTAAATGACATGAATGAAAAATAACATCCAAGATGGGGTAGGAATGGGCTGCCTGCAATCAGAATGATGTTATGTAAATCAGATTACTGAAAATAAGTAAATATAATCAGGACAGATTACATCCGAAAGTGTGATTATATTATAGCGCCATTGTCAAACATTATTTGATTATATTTTGAGTAACATATGACAATTCTTTAAGACTCTTCAGTCCTTCTGGCACAACCAAGTCCAGATATGACCTGACTCTGTACAGTGGTTCCAGATCTGGACCTGGTCTAATGTGGTCCAAATGGAAAAACGCTGTGAAAACATTCCTTTTTTGCATTGTGAAACATTGTAAACAGGTTTCTCAAATTGTGTACGTAGGTTTCAAGCAGCATTAAGGGTTTACCTGAATTGTCTAACAGTGTTTTACAGCATTAAAATTTGGAAAAACTGAGAAGTTTAGTTTTCTTTAAAGGTTATTCCATCTGAATTTTACTACAATTTCTGCTCAGTCATCTTTGATTTCCTTTTTTAAAAATGGTAGCATGAAATATGTATATTTATGAAGATGTTTGTAAAAATGTAGCTTGATCTATCAAATACTTTCCCAGATAATATTTCAGCACGTTGTTTCATGGACTGCAATTTAAGGCTACATTTGGATGACAATATTTTCGAAACTAGTAAAATATATATAATAATAAATAATAATAAAACTGTCATTGTTATTTCTCATCATGCCATTGATTCAGAATCTCCCAAAATTGACAAGAAAATTAAATAATCTCAGATTATGGGTGTGAAATGCAATATTAAAATTAAAAAATAAATAAATTTTTAAAAAACAAAAAAACAAAAACAAAACAGAGCTGCCATAAAAAGTCCAATCTTTGAGCACACATCAACAAATAACAACAACAACAACAACAACAACAATAATAATAATAATAATAATAATGCAGAAGTCAGCTGGTGGTATTTTCTGAACCATGTGTAGTTGTATGTCACAATAATACAAGGCAAGACTTTTAGTTAACTGTTAAATATGAAATACTTGGTCCCAAAAAAAAATAAAGTTAATATATCTTTGTTGAAACTTGTATTTTTGTATTTGTTTGTACAACAACAAAACATTAGGTGATATTGTAAATAAAACTGAAGTTTCAAAATGGGTTTATAACAAAAGCATTTTTTTGTGTTCCTAATTTTTTTTTATTGTCATGATTAAACCGGTTCAAGCACGCCAGAGATCTTCGAGCAGACGTTACCTGACTATACGAGATGTAATAACCCTAACCTTTCCCTTAACGTCCTTACTTGTTGTCTGTATGTCTTCAATTTCATTGACCTCAGCTGCCCTGTCGGGCTTCGCTTTTACGCCACTGAAGTTTGTCCCTCCGCGGCTCCAGTAGAATCTCTTCCGGCAGTGACAAGTGCAGCAGAACTGTGTTAGCGGTTTCCGTGAAGGTCGTGAGTCCAACCCGTGAGTATCTAGCCAAATTAAAACTATTTAACCGTGTGTGTCGGATGTTGGCTGCGACGTGTTGCGTTTTCAATTCAATAATAACTTCTGCATTTTTCTAGTTTTCCAGGATTTTGTGGCTTTCTGGCCGGTTAGCAGTTAGCTGTTCTCAACCTAGCTACCGTTAGCTCAACATGCTGTGCTCACATTAGCTCAATGCTAACAGACGGCTCGTCATGTTATTAAATGTAAATCAGAATAGCAATGTGTACGGCTTATATTAGTGTTTCTCGTGTCATTGGGGAGACGCATTATCCTAACATGACTAAAGAAAGGATGTTTTTCCGTGTCTGGCTGCTCCGGCTAACAGAACTTTGACCCTCCGCCGCAGCTGGTGCTGTTAAATCTTTATTTCCTGACACTAGTCGCCATTACGCTGCTGGGGGACGCTAATAATGTTTGTATGTATTTAATACGTGACACTCTGAACGAAGCAGGACACATGCTTCAGGTAGGACAGTTAGAATCGACAGAAAGGTCACCCGATATGAGTCCTGACCTGAGTTGGCAGCCGTGTGTGATGCGTTCAGGGACGCCATAATGACCGGTATTGATAGTTTCTCAGAGAAATGGGTTTGATGTTGTCCAGCTAATTAAATAAAAGTCAGTATTTTGAGAACAGCGGCCTTGTTGCGTTGACTGAAGCTAATTGACCTTTAGGTTGGTTAACTGCTGTTACTTCTGTGACCCATCAGATCCTCTGGCCACCCTGCAAATGTAGCTGCATTGTCTTAGACTGTATTTTATCTACTGTTGTCAGTCAACGTTTTTAAAATGATCTGGTCTAGTTGCTGCCTTACAACTGTGACTAGAGATGAAGCAGTTGTTAGGATAAGATAATCCTTTATTAATCCCACAGGAGGGCAATTTGCAATGTTACAGGAGCAAATGGGATAAATGCAAAAATGTTGGGAACAGTAGTATAAAATAAAAAAAAATAAAGATATTGTAAAGCGCATTGTCCTGTCCATGTCCTGCATGGATTTGGAAAAATCAGGTATACAATTCGAGGTTCAGAAAGCAATTTCTAAAAAGTGTGGTGTCCTTTTCTAGATTTCTTGAAAGACCCTCATCTACTGCCACTGAGTATCTGAGGAGCCTAAAATTCACATATATATTTTGTTTATGAAGAAAAAATGGTTTAAGTTTGAATTTCTTGCAAATTCTGTACATTAATATGTGATATTCAGTGTATAAAAAGACATTTGAAAGAAAAAGCTATTGTAAAGCTCTAAGGCAGCCAACATGAAATAAATCCTGCACTTGATCGATCATTATGAGTCATTTCCCAAATAAAGTTATAAAAAATATTTTTAGCTTCTTAAATGACAACATTTTCAGCATTTCCTCGTCATATATATCACAGTGAACTGAATATTTTATGAAGGACTGCGTGATTATAGCTGAAAACTGTATCATGATTTTTTTTTTTTTAATTATTAGTCAGTATAGGTAATTATGGATCTTTTTAATGACTTATTTTTGCTACAGACCAGGAGAAAAGACTTAATTTTAAGTGCCATTTTAACCTGTTTGTCAAGGTACATACATATGATTTGAATGTTAACACTAACAAACGCTCATAAATAAGTAAAGGTTAAAATAACTCTCTCACTGAAATAAGTATTTGCTGCTTCCAGTCTCTCAGGTGTGACAATTTGGTGCATTTCTTTGTTTTACTTGATAGTAAACAAAATGTTAAATTCAACATAAGTTTCCTGATGTCAGAGGGACAAAGCAATTGATTGATTTCTAAAATTCTTGGCAGATAAATCATTAATTATTAGTTGCGGCCCCCTCATGATGTCATAGGAGCTAAACGTTGACTGCACAGGTCCTTTAAAGACTTGATTTTGCCTTTTTTTCTCTGCAGGTGATCAACCATGTCTCTCGCAAAGCCGGCGATGAGGGGCCTGCTGGCCAAGCGTCTGAGGTTTCACCTGTCCATCGCTTTCACCATGGCTCTCGCTGCTGCAGTAGCGTTCAAGGTGGGAGCAGGACACACACCCACGTGGCTGCAGCCTCAGTCCTGATTCAGTTTTTATGATGTAAATTGTAACTCGTACACATGGTCGTGCTTCAGAGTGTCCTGTCAGCATCATCTTAAAACTCAGCAGACAATCGAAACAAAATAAGTTCCATTTGGCTTTTTGTCAGCTTGTGGTGGAAAGAAAATTCTCAGGTGTGTCAGAGGAAAGCCCAACTCCAGTTCCTGATAATTTCTACAGTGCTGTCATCGATGCAGCATCTTTAGTGAACCCTCTGTACGCTTCTAGTCTTTCTCCTTTGGATATTGAAAGTGATGTTGCACATTGTTCATAAATATTACTGCACTAAAACTATAAAGACAACGATTATCTGCTGTAATGTCCTGCTAAGAAAGACTCCTTAGATCAAGCTTATACGTTATTTTGGGCTTTTGTAAATTCAGCAGCAATTTTTTAAAGATTTCCTCACATCAGACGGAGGAAGCAGCACACCTGGGACAAAATATCTGACATCAGCTGTCAATGAATTAGACAGAAAGTTGGACTGGAGTGAAAGACACTGAAGGAAAACGATTTAAACAGTGCGTCAGACAAATGCGTCTTGTGTTTATATTACTTCTGGTAACTAAATCAGCTCCAGTCGGTCTGACAGGTGACACTGCTGACTGAGGTCATGCTAATGCAGCTTCAGTTAGCTAGCTTAGCTGTCAATAAGCTCCATGTTGGTGACAGAATCTGAAGGCTGCTATTTTTGACTCTGCACTGTGGTAGCCTTCATCTCAACTAGCAGCCATATTGGTTTCATGTTAATGTTTCCTTATGTTGGGTGATGTGTGGACTTGATTTATTTCTGCTGTGATGCTGAAGCATTGACATCGTGGTATTATAGCAGCCGGCTAGTTTGGTTTAACAGACACACTGCAGAGTTTTCAGAATGGAATGATCCAAAACTTTGGACAGCGTCTGCTGTTTTCTTTCTCCCGAATCTTCTCTGTGCACCGTTGCACTATGTTCTCACTTTGTCTTTATTTTTGAATCCATACACAGTGACGATGGGTGTAGTTATAACGAAGCTTCAACGCAAACATATGCCGTAGATGGTTTTTAGTTGTCAAGTTTTTTGAGGCTTTGTTTCAGCCCTTGTTCTATAATTTAGGTATTTTTCTGTATTTGTGCTTGAATGTTTTTAATTTATGTTACTTCAAAGAAAAATGTGGTCCCCTCTACTAAATTATGCTTGTCTGATAATTTAAGTTACTACTTATCTGGTGAGTTTAGATTTTACTTGAAAACTGTTATTGGTCTTAAAAATATGTGTAACAGTGGAATCAACTCAGACTACAACATGACATTGTTAACCTTCTGAAGCCCCAGAGGCTTCTGGGAGATTTATTTGCTCATGTCACATTTTTATTCACTGTAGGCTCATTTTTCACAGCAACGTAAAGTCCAGGACCTCTGGAAACAGCACAGCCACGGCTACAAGTCGAGGAAACACAGAAATATGTTTTGTGCAGCATAACAGAATTATGATAATGGCATAAGTTGACTGTGTTCCTGTGATTATTTCTGTACATTTTAAAATGTTTTTTCCAAATGCCCACAGTTGTCATCAACACTTTACTATCAAACTTTTACCACTTACACTTTGAATTTGTTGCCAAACTTCTGTCCTGTCAGAAGCCTGCAGTTCACTTGAAAAGGCCCAGATTATAATTATATATATATTTAGTTTTTGCAGATTCTAATGAAAATGTCCTATTTTGGTCAAGTTTTTAAACAAGAGTCATTTTGATGAAATGTCCTGATTTTAAGCCTTGATTCTGTTCACTTTCTCAGCAGAACCGGTAGTCAGACGTTTAGTTAAAGGGTTTTCTAAAAGTTGAAAATCCAACAGTTCTTTTTGTTGTTACAGTTTCTTGCTTTGATAATTGTTGTAAATTTAGCGATTGTGTTTTTTTTTTTGTTTTTTTTTTTTAAACCTTTTAAACCCTCCAACAAGTTTTCATGTTCAGACGGTCCAATAACTGTAGTTGTGTTGTAGCTCATCCTGCTGTATGTCAGAACTTTTACCTTCTGTTACATATTCACAAAACACCACAGATGTAGGACTTGACAGTATTTTTAATTCATAGTATTTTCTCCTGTTCTTAAGGATCTGAATACTTATTCTGGGACTGGCTTCAGATCAGTGTTTGAAACTCTTTGTAAGTAAATCTCTGGTGTTTTGTTGCCCACAGTACACAGTGACAGAGCCCAGGAAACAGGCCTACGCTGACTTCTACAAGCAGTACGACGCCGTCAAAGACTTCAAGGCCATGAGGGAAGCCGGCATCTTTGAGAGCGTGCGGCCCTCCGGGGAGTAAAGCCACTGTGAGTGTCTTCTGGGCAGCCTTTGATTAATGCACCACAACAGCATCTACTTTTATTGTAGTTTCAAACTCCTGCATATATTAACAGTTGTGTCTTGTGCTTCCTTCCTCCAGCTCTGCTTCCCCCTCATTCATTCCTGGTCTGAAGATGGTTCCTTCTCGCGCCCTTTGCTGTTATTTACTGATCAGATGTGAACATTGCTTCACTGTTTTGTTCCTCTAAATAAAATAAACTATTCTAAAAATGTGAGAGCTCTTGTGTCTTGGTGTTGATTAAAAGTAAGTTGTAATTATTCTCTGACGTAACTTTAAGATTTAATAAAATTAGATTATTTCAAAATCTTTGAGAGGCAGAATAAATAAATAAATAAATAAATGTTGCACTGAGACTGAACTGCACTGAAGTGTTATTTGCATTATCAACACATTAAGCTACTTTCTCTAATCGTAACTGAATGTGAGAATACACCGAAAACTGCATCATCACTCACTGAATATGTTCAACAACCCAAATATGTTGTGTTCACTGTCACTAAAAAGGATGATGGGACCCCTAAACTAATATTTAAACAACCCTTTGAGCCAATCACTGCCATCAGGTGTTTTCTGTCAGACTTCTGCACCTGTTGACAGGTATTCTGATTTCACTGCTCATCAGCAAAGTGCTCTAATTTGTGCAGAACAGTTTTTTTGTTATTTTTTAAAATTCTTCTTTTCAAGGGGCTGCAAGGTGGCACAGTTGGTAGCAGCAAGAAGGTCACCGGTTCGCATCCCGGTGGGGGCACCGGAATCTTTCTGCGTGGAGTCTCCATGTTCACCCCGTGCAGCGTGGGTTCTCTCCAGGTTCTCCGGCTTCCTCCCACACAGTCCAAAAACATGTTGAGGTTAATTGGTGATTCTAAA